TAGTCATTAAAAATTGTGAAAAACATATCCTACTACATTCCCAATAAAGTGAGATCAGAAAATTAAGTTATATGTAACAATTATGTGATCTATTTTAGTCTGATTTAATATTATAAGGCAAAATATTGTGGTTGCGCAACATTGCGATGTTGACGCATGGTTCATTTTTGAACCTATAGCATGATAATCGACACAAACATTAAATTATGGCTGACAGTACATTTGTTGAAAATAAGGAGCATTACAAACCAGAAACATGGAGATAAGACGGATATTGTGCACTTCTCGCCAGCTGTTACTTCTGTCCCAAGGCTGTGTTACTCATTTACCCTAGAAATTAAATTACAGTTGCTAATGGTAGAGGACATGCATTGAGTGTAAAAAACATAGGAACACCTGCTCTATCCATGACATAATCTATGGATTTCACATGACTGGGAATACAGATATACATCTGTTGGTCACAGATACTGTACCTTAAAAAAAAAAAGTACGGCCGTGGATCAGAAAACCAGTCAGTATCTGGTGTGACCACCATTTGCCTCATGCAGTGTGATGCATCTCCTTCGCATAGAGTTGATCAGGCATTGATTGTGGCCTCTTCAGTCGCTTTGTGAAGTTGCTGGATATTGACGAGAACTGGAACACGCTGTCGATCCAGAGCATCTCAAACATGCTCAATGGGTGGTGACATGTCTGGTGAGTATGCAGGCCATGGAAGAACTGGGACATTTTCAGCTTCCAGGAATTGTGCACAGATCCTTGCGACATGGGGCCGTGCATTATCATGCTGAAACATGAGGTGATGGCGGCGGATGAATGGCACGACAATGGGCCTCAGGATGTCGTCACAGTATCTCTGTGCATTAAAATTGCCATAGATAAAATGCAATTGTGTTAGTTTTCCGTAGTTATGCCTGCCCATACCATAACCCCACCGCCACCATGGGGCACTCTGTTCACAACGTTGACATTAGCAAACCGCTCGCTCACACGATGCCATACATGCTGTCTGCCATCTGCCCGGTACAGTTGAAACCGGGATTAATCTGTGAAGAGCACACTTCTCCAGTGTGCCAATGGCCATCGAAGGTGAGCATTTGCCCACTGAAGTCGGTTATGATGCCGAACTGCAGTCAGGTCAAGACCCTGGTGAGGAGGACAACGGGCACGCAGATGAGCTTCCCTGAGACGGTTATAAAAGTTTGTGCAGAAATTCTTCGCTTGTGCAAACCCACAGTTTCATCAGCTGGCCAGGTGGCTGGTCTCAGACGATCCCGCAGGTGAAGAAGCCAGATGTGGAGGTCCTGGGCTGGCGTGATTACACATGGTCTGCGGTTGTGAGGCTGGTTGGACCTACAGCCAAATTCTCTAAAACAACGTTGGAGGCGGATTATGGTAGAGAAATGAACATTACATTCTCTGCCAACAGTTCTGGTGGACATTCCTGCAGATATTATGCCAATTGCACGGTCCCTCAACTTGAGAAATCTGTGGAATTGTGTTGTGACTCACACGAACACGATGGGGTTCTCCGTTTTGCTCTACGAGCAAGCGTCTTGGGACTCGTCTGAAGTCGGTACAGCAGATCTGCCAACTTCTGTCTGTAGCGTTCCAACAGTTTGGGCTACACACTAATGTGACCCCTCTGTAGAAAGGTGAGACTCACAAACATGTTTTGCTCTTGGATGCCCACAAGCCTCACAAGCCTCATCAAAAAAACTTTCATCAAATCATTATTTTATATATTTTTTTGATACTTCAAGTGGTCTTAAAATTCTAAATCAAATAGCTAAATGATCATTGGTATGACCTTAAAACAATTAAATATGTTAGCTTAGTAGAAGCCCCCATCTGCTGGTAAGCAATAAATAATAATAGTGAGTGATTATCAGAAACTTATTTTTTCTCTATTGTTTTCATCGAAACTCTGTGTTGCAGCTGTAAGTCGTGGCTTTAGGAGCCTATAATCAGTTGGAATACCAGGTTTGCATCCTACATCATGCTTCCCTTTTTTGCCTTCAAGTTGACTTGTTTTCAAAAACTGAATCTATGGCATTATTTAGGATGCTTAATTAAGACAGAATCTTATACTATACTAAATCAAACAAATTATTTGAGCAGTGCAGAAAGTGTGGTTTCACATAAAACTATTTTCAAAATTGGATTTGACCTCATACCCTCAGGTCCCTGAATGTTCCATAGTTCCCTACTCTACCTGCTACCAGTCAGGTGAAACCTTTTGTAAAAAATTCTAGATTTGTAAGTATGGTGTTTGAATGCAGCTTGGAATCAAAGAAAGCACCAGAATCACAGCAAAATCAGTGGGATTTCGCATTTTGCAACACACGGTTTGAAAAAGCACGTGATCAAACGAAGCTTCGGACGTCATTGATGACATACTTCTGATAAAGTGATACACACATCGGCACAATGCTTCGAAGTCAGCTGCTTAGCGATTTCGAAGCATGCCTCGTATCAAAAGTAACATCACTGCCGGAGATCCACTCCCAGCGCGTGCCCTCCCCCAGACCCAGACATTGAAGATATTAACAAACATCTGTTTGTTGTCAGGTGAACTTGGTCAGGGCCGGAGCAGAGAACTGCCTGAAGATGGGTCCCTCGGAAGCGCGTCAAGCAGTCCAGCCCCTCAAAACAAATGCCCAGCACAGTGTCTGTTTGGTTTAAGGGAAATATAAATACTGTCAGTAATATAATACAAAGACATCAGCTCACATTAATTTAATGTAACAACGGTGGTATTGCACCACCTGGTTCTGCTACAAAGCAACAATTGTTTCCTCACAAAGGATATACTGGCCATGTCCAAATACCCATACTTGCATCCTAAATAGTAGGCCGTTTGATTATGCGAAAACATAAAGTTTAATAGTATGCGACATTTCGAAAATTGAGTATACTTTAAATGCCCAGATGTCATACTCATTTTGGCTTTGACAACAGCTGATCAATTAGATATGGGGATGCGCTACCGAAATCAACAAAACCGGGAAACAACACAATTGCGCATGACGCATTCTCAGTATGCAAAAATAGAATGATTCATAGTATGTGAATTTCCGATAAAATCGAGTATGGTTCAAATGCCAGGCAGGATGTTATAGTCATTTCGGCTCTTCATCTAGTAGAATTGAATGCACACTTTTCCACAATGCATTGGAAGAAGTGGGCTGCGGTTGATCGGCGGTGGATTCTGCGGTGGTGTTCAAATGTAGGCTAAGTACTTTTTATTCTACTTTAAATGATCAGGAGTATTGCATCGTAGAAAAGTCTTTCTTTTTTTTAACCCAAAGTGGATTTCTGTTTTCTCATTGAAAGTGTTTCGTGTTCTGTTGACCTTTTGTCAGAGCTTTTTAAACTAAATACTAAACCATCGTTTTATTTTTTGAGATTTCTTTTGGTGTCAACACCAGGGTCTCGGGATGTGGCTGCGTTATTGATGTCATGTTAATCAGGCCTTTTGATTTTAACATATGGATTGTTTTAGTTTTGTATGCTAGGCTACCTATTTAATTTATGGATCAAGCCTTAGTAGTCATTCTGATCTCGTTCCCTATGATCAGTGCTTTAGTTTATTATGTTGCTGTCCAGGGGTTCTGAATTAGTGTTTGTGATGCACCCAACTGTCCAAATGTTTCTGTGCAATAGCCTTTTGATTTGAACATTTGAAAAATGTTGGTGTGTGTACTAGGCTATTTAATTTAATTCATAAAAACTCTCCAGTCCTTAACGATTACAAGCATACTCATAACATGATGCAGCCACCACTATGCTTTCAAATATGGAGAGTGGTACTCAATAATGTGTTGTATTGGATTTGCCCCAAACATAACAGTTTGTATTCAGGACAACAAGTGAATTGCTTTCGCACATTTTTTGCAGTATTACTTTAGTTCCTTGTTGCAAGTGTAACTGGTGTGAAAATGGCTAGCTAGTTAGCGGTGCGCACTAGTAGCGTTTCAATCGGTGACATCACTTGCTCTGAGACCTTGAAGTAGTTGTTTCCCTTGCTCTACAAGGGCCGTGGCTTTTGTGGAGCGATGGGTAACGGTGCTTCGAGGGTGACTGTTGTCGATGTGTGCAGAGGGTCCCTGGTTCAAGCCCAGGTAGGGGCGAGGAGAGGGATGGAAGCAACACTGTTACACAAGCAGGATGTATGTTTTTGGAATATTTTCTTTCTGTACAGGCTTTCTTTTCACTATGTCAATTAGGTTAGTATTGTGGAGAAACTACAATGTTGCTGATCCATCCTCAGTTTTCTCATATCCAAGCCATTAAACTCGGTAACTGTTTTAAAGTCACCATTGAGCGGTTTCCTTCCTCTCTGGCAACTGAGTTAGGAAGGATGCCTGTATCTTTGTAGTGACTGGGTGTATTAATACACCATCCAAAGTGTAATTAATAATTTAACCATGCTCAAAGGGATATTCAATGTCTGCTTTTTTGTTTTGTTTTATCCATCTACCAATAGGTGCCCTTTGCGAGGCATTGGAAAACCTCCCTGGTCTTTGTGGTCGAATCTACTCGACTGAGGGACCTTACAGATTATTGTATGTGTTGGGTACAGAGAGGAGGAAGTCATTCAAAACTCATTTAAAACACTTATGACACAATTATTATGTGACTTGATTAGCACATTTTTACTCCTGAACTTATTTAGGCTTGCCATAACAAAGGGGTTGAATACATATTGAATCATCCAAGTAGGATATTTCAGTTTATTATACATTTTTTGGGGGAACATTTTCAATTACTTTCTTTCACTTTCAAAATGTGGAGTAGGTTGTGTAGATCTGTAGAAAAATTGAATCCCTTTTTAGATAAAATTAAGGCAGCAAAATGTGAAAAAAGTGCAAGGGTGCGTAGAGCACTACAGTTCTTCCAATACAGTAAAATTAACCATCTGGTCAGCAAGGTTATAATTGCACAACATTACATCAGAATGTTATATAATTATATTTCTCCTACTGACCCTAGCAATGAGAAGAGCAAAGCATGTCACGGAAGCTGTTCTACGCTGTGTGATTCTACTCATCATCCAGAGTACAGAAAGTAGGTTTCCAACTGATGTCATAAAGTCTCATACCATTGAGCGTAGGTTTTTTCTTTATTTGTATTATTGACACAGAACAGGCAATAACACACACCAAACACACACTCCCATCATTCTAGACCTTGTCCTTTCAGGAAACAACAAGGCACACACATCAGCTCAGTATGTTCACTATGTTTTGAGACATGCTGAGCATGCACAAGCATCTGGAATGTCTTAAATAAGTGTATGAACAGAGTCAATGCTTTTGGCTTATTATTCTAATACAATATTCACCAGGTAGCTTCAGTCTAGACTGGACCCAGATCTGTATGTGCTTTAGCCATCTCCTCTGACTATGGCTGCCCAAATGGGCGTAAGGTCAAATATATTTTTACAATAGCCACACACAAATTTCTGCATCAATAGGAGATCATAGTTCATAAGCACAGCTATATACAAAGAAGTATCTTATTTGTGTATGTTTAGGTACCATCTCTGTCGATTTAGAGTTAAAGCATCTATTCTACAGGCACAAAAAAAACATTCAAAAAGATACCTATGTTTTCTCTCCAGGTATACGGGTGATTGGAGGAAGCAGCACTGTGGTACAGGGAGAGGATGTGGACTTATCCTGCAGACTGCTAGAGACAGACGAGGAGGTTGAACAGATAACATGGCAGAAAAGTACTCTGGAAGAACCAGAGAACCATAATTTCTTGCTTATTTTTCCCAATGGGGTTACTGATTTTATTGCATCAAATGGACTGGCAGGTAGAGTCCAGTTTATTGGGAACTCAAAAGAAAACCTTGGATCTATTCGAATAACAGCTGCCAGACTGTTGGATGAAGGCACCTTCACATGCATCTTCAGTGTTTTCCCCAGTGGAGCATACAATACAGAGATAACTCTTACTGTGCTAGGTAAGAACACTTCCTTCAGTCTTTGCCTCACTGTTTCTACTTTTGACATTGTAGAAAGAGTGTGTGAAATATCAATACCAGAAAGTGGGTAGGGTTTGTTGTGGAAATTCAACAGAGGGACACTCAAAGTCAATATTAAATGAATCATCTTTATTGTCAGCCAGCTGGAGAGGTCACAGTCAAACTTGGATGCATAAAGTTGGATTGGTTCCTACATGTGACTGGCTCGGTCTCCTATCTTAACTTATATAACATATTCTGGGCATTCTGACAGATGGTCCTAAGGAGGGGGTCAGACTATACATTTCCTCCACAGGTTCATTATTAAAGTGAAGTAAGAGCAGAGACTTGATCTACACATTTCTGTGATTTGTTTTCAAAACCAATATCCTCTTACTTACCACCGAAGTTGTAACGAGAGCACATCAACTCTCAATATACTCAGTGGTCAGTTTATTAGGTACATCCATCTAGTACCGGGTCAGACCCCCTTTGCCTCCAGAACAGCCTGAAGTCTTTGGAGAATGGAAACGTTTCTCAATTGGTATCAATTGGCAGAATGGGGCCATGGACTCCTGCTCTTTATGCCAAATTCTGACTCTTCCATCAGCATGAAGCAACAGGAACCAGGGTTTTCCACTCCTCAATTGTCCAGTGTTGGTGTGGTCATCTGCTGCACTACCCCATCCGTGACAAGGACCAATGAGTTGTGCATTCAAAGATGCCGATCTGCACACCACTGTTGTACTGCGCCGTTATTTGCCCGTTTGTGGCCCGCCTGTTAGCTTGCAGGATTCTTGCCATTCTCCTTCGACCGCTCATCAACGAGCTGTTGTCGCCCACTGGACTGCCGCTGACTGGATGTTTTTTGTTGATCGCACCATTCTCGGTAAACCCTAGACACTGTCGTGGGTGAAAAGCCCAGGAGGCCAGCAGTTTCTGAGATACTGGAACCGGCATGCCTGGCACCGCCGATCCTACCACGCTCAAAGTTGCTTAGGTCACTCGTTTTGTCCATTCTAACATTCAATCGAACAGTGACTGAATGCCTCAACGCCTGTCTGCCTGCTTTATATAGCAAGCCACGGCCACGTAACTCACTGTCTGTAGGAGCTAACCATTTTCGTGAACAGGGTGGTGTACCTAATAAACTGGCCAGTGAATGTACATCTAGGTTGTTTTTTTAAGCATCGGCAGGACTGATCAACATCCTCTGGTAAACTCATGGTGGAGGTGATTGTATATTACAGTTTCTTTCAATCACTTTGGCTCATTTAGTTTTCTTTGGCTCGCATGACTGTCAGTCACTTTGGATAAAAGTGTCTGCTAAACAACATATACAGTGGGGAGAACAAGTATTTGATACACTGCCGATTTTGCAGGTTTTCCTACTTACAAAGCATGTAGAGGTCTGTCATTTTTATCATAGGTACACTTCAACTGTGAGAGATGGAATCTAAAACAAAAATCCAGAAAATCACAATGTATGATTTTTAAGGAATGAATTTGCATTTTATTGCATGACATAAGTATTTGATACATCAGAAAAGCAGAACTTAATATTTGGTACAGAAACCTTTGTTTGCAATTACAGAGATCATACGTTTCCTGTAGGTCGTGACCAGGTTTGCACACACTGCAGCAGGGATTTTGTCCCACTCCTCCATACAGACCTTCTCCAGATCCTTCAGGTTTTGGGGCTGTCGCTGGGCAATACGGACTTTCAGCTCCCTCCATTGGGTTCAGGTCTGGAGACTGGCTAGGCCACTCCAGGACCTTGAGATGCTTCTTACGGAGCCACTCCTTAGTTGCCCTGGCTGTGTGTTTCGGGTCGTTGTCATGCTGGAAGACCCAGCCACGACCCATCTTCAATGCTCTTACTGAGGGAAGGAGGTTGTTGGCCAAGATCTCGCGATACATGGCCCCATCCATCATCCCCTCAATACGGTGCAGTCGTCCTGTCCCCTTTGCAGAAAAGCATCCTCAAAGAATGATGTTTCCACCTCCATGCTTCACGGTTGGGATGGTGTTCTTGGGGTTGTACTCATCCTTCTTCTTCCTCCAAACACGGCGAGTGGAGTTTAGACCAAAAAGCTCTACTTTTGTCTCATCAGACCACATGACCTTCTCCCATTCCTCCTCTGGATCATCCAGATGGTCATTGTTAAACTTCAGACGGGCCTGGACATGCGCTGGCTTGAGCAGGGGGACCTTGCGTGCGCTGCAGGATTTTAATCCATGACGGCGTAGTGTGTTACTAATGGTTTTCTTTGAGACTGTGGTCCCAGCTCTCTTCAGGTCATTGACCAGGTCCTGCCGTGTAGTTCTGGGCTGATCCCTCACCTTCCTCATAATCATTGATGCCCCACGAGGTGACATCTTGCATGGAGCCCCAGACCGAGGGTGATTACTCCGTCATCTTGAACTTCTTCCATTTTCTAATAATTGCGCCAACAGTTGTTGCCTTCTCACCAAGCTGCTTGCCTATTGTCCTGTAGCCCATCCCAGCCTTGTGCAGGTCTACAATTTTATCCCTGATGTCCTTACACAGCTGTCTGTTCTTGGCCATTGTGGAGAGGTTGGAGTCTGTTTGATTGAGTGTGTGGACAGGTGTCTTTTATACAGGTAACGAGTTCAAACAGGTGCAGTTAATACAGGTAATGAGTGGGGAACAGGAGGGCTTCTTAAAGAAAAACTAACAGGTCTGTGAGAGACGGAATTCTTACTGGTTGGTAGGTGATCAAATACTTATGTCATGCAATAAAATGCAAATTAATTACTTAAAAATCATACAATGTGATTTTTTGGATTTTTGTTTTAAATTCCGTCTCTCACAGTTGAAGTGTACCTATGATAAAAATTACAGACCTCTACATGCTTTGTAAGTAGGAAAACCTGTAAAATCGGCAGTGTATCAAATACTTGTTCTCCCCACTGTGTGTGTATATATATATATATATAAATATACTTTTTTCAGATGTAAGTGGTATATCTACAAAAGTCTAAGTTCAAAACTCTAAGCTGATAACACTTGTAATGCCCCTATTTTATGTTCAGAACCTTGAATTATGCATTTATTTTTGTTGAACACATCTTTTACCCCTGAGTCATTCATTTTCTATGAAATACCACGAGAACGTTTTGTTTAGTCACCAATATATCAGATAATGATAGGCTCACTGCAAAAGATACAAGATGCACATTTCAAAACTGTTATTTATGAAGTGCTGAGTAGCAAGAATAGTATATAGTAAATATAATTTTCAATACAGTATTTGACTAACCTGGCATGCAAAACCAAATTTGCATACCAATTTTATTTCTAGCACTTTGGTGCAATTTTCAAGTATGTAGTACAACTCTTAGCACACAAATCTAAACAGATCATCAAAATGGCTTAGAATTCTATACTTTTAGATCAAATCAATAAAATAACATTTTATTTGTCACATACTTCGTAACCAACAGGTGTAGACTAACAGTGAAATGCTTACTTACGGGCCCTTCCCAAGAATGCAGAGAAAAATTTAATAGAGAAATAATAGAAAAGTAGTAACACGTAATAATAAAAATTATAATAAATACACAATGAGTAACAATAACTTGGCTATATACACAGGGCACCAGTACTGAGTTGATGTGCAGGAGTATGATGTAATTGAGGTAGATATGTACATATAACTAGGAATAAAGTGACTAGGCAACAGGATAGATTAATAAAAAGCATAAGTGATGAGTCAAAAAAGTTGGTGCAAAAAGGGTCAATGCAAATACTCCGGGTAGCTATTTGGTTAACTATTTAACTAACTATTTAGTAGTCTTATGGCTTGGGGGTAGAAGCTGTTCAGGGTCCTGTTGATTCCAGAATTGTTGTGCGGTAGCAGAGAGAACAGTCTATGACTTAGGTGGCTGGAGTCTTTGACAAATTTTAGGGCCTTACTCTGACACCGGCTGTTATAGAGGTCCTGGATGGCAGGGAGCTCGGCCCAGTGCTACCCTCTGTAGCACCTTGTGGTTAGATGCCAAGAAGTTGCCATACCAAGCGGTGATGCAGCCAGTCAAGATGCTCTCAATGGTGCAGCTGTATAACACTTTTACAGGTGTTACCAGTTTGGAGTTTTGTACTTTTCTGTGGAAATGAAACATGCTTTTTGTGTGTCTTTAGCTAGGTTTCCATCCAATTGGCGACAGATTTTCATGTGAATATTTTAGAATCAGCATAAAGAAAATGTGAATTTTCCCACCAGTGGGATGTTTCCACCAAATTGGCATGTTGCGGATAAAAATCAGTGCGTGATGATAAAGTGCACACAAAATGTACTTGTTCGCTTAAGTTTTCATGTATCTAATAAAAATCTAGTTACATTTGTTTCCATCGCATTTTCAACTCTACCGATAGTTTTGTCAGAAAAACTGTTGAGTTAAATAGCAAATGTGCCTACTCTGGTCTTGGCACCTGCGCTCTACCTCACAGCTTGCCGATACAGTGCGGGTAGGCAGTGCGGGTTGTCTAGTTTACATGATGAGATTATTATGGATAAGAGCGAGAATATTTGTATTTGTCGAAAGGCAGTCAAGCATCGATCATCATGTCACCAGAATAAGATCATTGATATTTATCGAAAATCAGCATCAAGCTCATCACTGTGCACTTTCACCACCCTGTGAAGTTCATCATAACTTATTTAATCTGTAGCCTAATAAACTGAATGGCTTCCCGAGTCGTAGTGGGAGGAAAACACACCATATCATCGCTTGACTCCAAATGGACTATTGACTTCGATATAATGGTTATTATATCAATATTTGTGCATAAATGCATTTCCACAATTAATTTTTCCGACATAAAAAGATCCCACCATGTCGAACAAAGAAATGATCTGTCGCATTTACACTGTAACTTCCAGTTTCTATCACAGCTGACATGATTTTTTTTTATAAGATATGACCGTATTCGCATAAAAACAGTGGCTAGAAACGTGGTTTGTTCTGGACCTGTTAGTTGTTTTAGCACCCTTTAGTGGTAGTTTAAGTGCAGCAGCGCAGAATTGACCTGTTTGTGACAGGAAGCAGTTCCAGAAGTGAAGCAATTTGTAATATGTGCACGTGTGACAGAGTAGTTACAATCCTTCTTTATAAGCTTTGTAAGACGCAATGTCTGTAAGTACATTTGTTTATTAACATGACAAATGTTTATCGACCATTGTTTTGATGTTTCTGTAAGTCTCTGTAAATAATTTTGTTAGCTTTTAGCTACTTAGCATCAGCTTCTGTGCTGTTTCTCCATAGGGATACCTAGCTTAGCAATATCAAGCATACATCTGCATTTATTGACTTTATTTCATACATTTAGTGCAGTTATTGTGTAAGAAATTCTGTACTCTGTCTCTGTAACTGAAACATGACCTTTTGCGTTTGTTGCAGTTTCACACTGTTATTCAAGTAAACTTCCAAAACGGCACCCTGCTTCTCATGGAGTTATTTGAATGACTGTTTAGCTAACTGGATAGCTGGATAAGAGCTACTGTACAATTAGCGAGTCCAGTATATGGTTAGTGAAACTTAATACCTCAGGTGGAGGTACCTCACACCAGAAGGTGAGCTAAAACCGGATTTGCCCAAACCTCAAATACTGTACAGTAAATCTGTAGATACTAATGATGCCTATTGCAACATGAGCATTTGAATAAGTTTCACATGGCTGGCTGTGTTTGTTTTTTCACTGAAATGTACAATTAATGACTAGTTAATATTTTCTGTTCTCTATTTGTTTGTTTGTTTGTTTGTTTGTTTGCTGGTCATAGTTCCTCCAGTGGTGAGTGTTACAGTTGGTGTCCCTCCTGTCGTTGGGGAGAATGAGGTTTTCTTTGCAACCTGTTTGGCTGCTGGTGCCAAGCCACAGGCAGAAGTGAGGTGGAACACGGATGCATTCGGCAGTTTATTGAGGACAGTGACCAACTCCACCCAGCACGCCAACGGCACCACCACGGTAGTCAGCCACCTGCTCGGGGTGCCAACCAGAGCAGCCAATCAGCAGCAGGTTCAGTGTGTGGTCAACCAGTCTGCCATGACAACAGAGAGGACCCTGACCTACACAATCGACATCCACTGTAAGTATAGACCCTCTGCCTTCACTGGCTGTGGGCCTAGTAGCCCCTCTAACCAGTCTCTGTGTGTGTGTGTATAGTAGGCCTCTACCTATGGAGCCTGTTCTGCTGCTTCTGCCCTGACCACTTTTATTCCTGTCCATCTAATCTAGGCTGTAGCAACTGTTATTGTCTTTAGCTTAAACACAGTTCTGAGACAGAGTGGAATGGGCCTTTACAAGGCTATCATTGTACTGCTCCGCTACTGGAAATAATCCAACTGAAATGGAGGAAGATCAGGTTCACACACAAATGACTGCATTCTTAGACTCCTACCTTATCTGTGGATTTAAGCTTCACCACTGCCCACTCCTTGCAGACTAGAGTCATTGTTATGGGTGTCATATACAGTACCTGTCAAAAGTTTGGACACACCTACTCATTGACTGGTACTGTATCTGTCTTGGTGTGTGTGTAGGCCTTATTTACATTCTATAGCTGCAGTAACTGTAACTCCTTTCTTTCTTTCTTTCTTTCTTTCTTTCATTCTTTCAATTCATTTTAAGGGGCTTTATTGGCATGGGAAACATATGTTTACATTGCCAAAGCAAGTAAAATGGATAATAAACAAAAGTGAAATAAACAATATAAAATGAACAGTAAACATTACACTCAAATGTAATTATGTCTATATACAGTGTTGTAACGATGTGCAAATAGTTAAAGTACAAAAGGGAAAATAAATCAACATAAATATAGGTTGTATTTACAATGGTGTTTGTTCTTCACTGGTTGCCCTTTTCTTGTGGCAACAGGTCACACATATTGCTGCTGTGATTGCACACTGTGGTATTTCACTCAATAGATATGGGAGTTTATCCAAATTTGAATTTTTTTCTAATTCTTTGTGGGTCTGTGTAATCTGAGGGAAATATGTGTCTCTAATATGGTCATACATTTGGCAGGAGGTTAAGAAGTGCAGCTCAGTTTCCACCTCATTTTGTGGGCAGTGTGCTCATAGCCTGTCTTCTTTCACTCCACAGCCTGAATCACTTCCTTTTAGGTGGTTGTAGAATTAAACAGCTCTTTTCTGGATTTTGATCATTAGCAGGTATCGGCCTAATTCTGCTCTGCATGCATTATTTGGTGTTTTATGTTGTACACACAGAGGATATTTTTGCAGAATTCTGCATGCGGAGTCTCCATTTGGTGTTTGTCCCATTTTGTGAATTATTGGTTGGTGAGCGGATCCCAGACCTCACAACCATGAAGGGCAATGGGTTCTATAACTGATTCAAGGATTTTTAGCCAGATCATAATTGGTATGTGAAAATATATGTTCCTTTTGATGGCATAGAAGGACCTTCTTGCCTTGTCTCTCAGATCGTTCACAGCTTTGTGGAAGTTACCTGTGGTGCTGATGTTTAGGCCGAGGTATGTATAGTTTTTTTGTGTGCTCTAGGGCAACGGTGTCTAGATTGTGGTGTCTGTATTTGTGGTCTGGGCAACTGGAACATTATTTTTGTCTTACTGAGATTTACTGTCAGGGCCCAGGTCTGACAGAATATGTGCAGAAGACCTAGGTGATGCTCTAGGCCCTCCTTGGTTGGGGACAAAAGCACCAGATCCTCAGAAAACAGTAGACATTTGACATCAGATTCTGGTAGGGTGAGGCCAGGTGCCCTTGCCAATTTGTTGATATACACAGTGCATTCGGAAAGTATTCAGACCCCATGACTTTTTCCACATTTTTTTTCGTTACAGCCTTATTCTAAAATGCATTATTTATTTATTTTTATGTTTCCCTAATCAATCTATACGCAATACCCCATAATGACAAAGCAAAAACATGTTTTTAGAAGGGGAAAAAAACCCTGAAATATCACATTTACAAAAGTATTCAGATCCTTTACTCAGTAATTTGTTGAACACCTTTGGCAGTGATTACGGCCTCAAGTCTTCTTGGATATGATGCTACAAGCTTGGCACTCCTGTATTTGGGGAGTTTCTCCCATTGTTCTCTGCAGACCATCTCAAGCTCTGTCAGTTTGGATGGGGAGCGTCGCTGCACAGCTATTTTCAGGTCTCTCCAGAGATGTTCGATCGGGTTCAAGTCCGGGCTCTGGCTGGGCCACTCAAGGACATTCAGAGACTGTCCCGAAGCCACTCCTGCATTGTTTTGGCTGTGTGCTTAGGGTCGTTGTCCTGATGGAAGGTGAACCGTCACCCCAATCTGAGGTCCCGAGCGCTCTGGAGCAGGTTTTCATCAAGGATCTCTCTGTACTTTGCTCCATTCATCTTTCCCTCGATCCTGACTAGTCATTCCCCCAGCATGATGCTGCCACCACCATACTTCACCGTAGGGATGGTGCCAGGTTTCCTCCAGACGTGATGCTTGGCATTCAGGCCAAAGAGTTCAATCTTGGTTTCATCAGACCAGACAATCTTGTTTCTCATGGTCTGAGTCTTTAGATGAACTCCAAGCGGGCTGTCGTGCTTTTTACTGAGGAGTGGCTTCCATCTGGGCCACTCTACCATTTAAGGCCTGTTGGTGGAGTGCTGCAGAGATTGTTGTCCTTCTGGAAGGTTCTCCCATCTCCGCAGAGGAACTATGGGGCTCTGTCAGAGTGACCATCAGGTTCTTGGTCACCTCCCTGACCAAGGCCCTTCTCCCGCTATTGCTCAGTTTGGCCGGGCGGCCAGCTCTTGGAAGAGTCTTGCTGGTTCCAAACTTCTTCCATTGAATAACGAGGGAGGCCACTGTGTTCTTGTGGGCCTTCATTGCTGCAGACATTCCCCATATCTGCGCCTCGACACAATCCTGTCTCGGAGCACTACTGATAATAACTTTGACCTCATGGCTTGTTTTTTGCTCTGACATGCACTGTCAACTGTGGGATCTTATATAGACAGGGGTGTGCCTTTCCAAATCATGTCCAATCAATTGAATTTACGACAGGTGGACTCCAATCAAGTTGTAGAAACATGTCAAGGATGATCAATGGAAACAGGATGCACCTTAGCTCAATTTCGAGTCTCATAGCAAAGGGTCTGAATACTTATGTATGTAAGGCATCCCTTATGTGTTTTTTGCCCATTTTAACCACCCACTTGTTGTTTGTGTACATGGATTTTATAATGTTGTATGTTTTTCCCCCAACACCAATTTCCATCAATTTTTATAGCAGACACTCATGCCTCCCTTTCTCTCTCCCTCCCTCTCTCCCTCTCTCTCCATAGATCCACCTCAGACAGTGAACATTACCCTTAGTGAGGCCTCCCAAGCCACAGTGTTCCTATGTGTAGCAGACAGCAACCCAAAAGCCAACTACACCTGGACCAGGTAGCCTATGCTTTCACACTCCTACAGTGCCTTTAGAAGGTATTCATACCCCTTGACTTATTCCACATTTTGTTGTGTTACAGCCTGAATACAAAATGGATTAAATATTTATTTTTTTACCCATCTACAAACAATACCAAATAATGACAAAGTGAAAACATGTATTTAGATATGTTTGCAAATGTATTGAAAATGAAATGCAGAAATATCTAATTTACATAAGCATTCCCACCACTAAGTCAATACATGTTAAAATCACCTTTGGCAGTGATTACAGCTGTGAGATTTTCTGGGTTAAGTATCTAATAGCTTTTCACACCTGGATTGTACAATATTTTCCCATTTATTATTTTCAAAATTCTTCAAACTCTGTCTAATTGGTTGTTGTTCATTGCTACACAACTATTTTCAAGTGTTACCATAGATTTTCAAGTAGATTTAAGTCAAAACTGTAACTTGGCCACTCAGCGACATTCACTGTCTTCTTGGTAAGCATCTCTAGTGTAGATTTAGCCTTGTGTTTTAGGTAATTGTCCTGCTGAAAGATGAATTAGTCCATAATAAGTATATAGGTTGAGAACTTTTGAGAAAGAGCACAGTTTGGGGGATATGGCATGTAGAGGCAAACCGGATGGACATCATGAAAATGATCAGAGAGGTTGAGGGTAGAGAAAGTTCAGGAGTAAAAACAAACAAAATATAATTATTGTATTATTTTATGTGTCCATAAAATGTCAATTGTATGTAGAGGCCTAAGTGTTGTTGTTCACTAGTTTTAATTAAATTAAGGGAGGGGTGATGGGGTTGGAAAGTAATAAATGAAAATCTACCACCCAAAAAAAATAACAAAGATTAATTAATCTCCCAGTGTTTGGTAGAAAGCAGACTGAACCAGGTTTTCCTGTAGGATTTAGCCTGTGCTTAGCTCCATTCCGTTTATTTTTTTATCCTGAAAAACTCCCCAGTCATTAACGATTACAAGCATACTCATAACATGATGCAGCCACAACTCTACTTGAAAATATGGAGAGTGGTACTCAGTAATGTGTTGTATTGGATTTGCACCAAACATAACACTTTGTATTCAGGACAGAAAGTTAATTGCTTTGCCACATTTTTTAAGTATTTCTTCAGTGCTTTATTGCAAACAGGATGCATGTTTTGGAATATTTGTATTCTGTATAGGTTTCCTTCTTTACACTCTGTCAATTAGGTTAGTATTGTGGAGTAACTACGATGTTGTTGATCCATCCTAAGTTTTCTCCTATCACAGCCATTAAGCTCTGTAACTGTTTTAAAGTCCACCTTTGGCCTCATGGTGAAATCCCTGAGCGGTTTCCTTACTCTCCGGCAACTGAGTAAAAAAAAATTGGGGGGGTAGATTGTAGCTTCCATCAATGTGATTGTCTGCATCATTTCCAATCCCCCATACAGTCAGGGGAAAAAGGTATTTGATCCCCTGCTGATTTTTTACGTTTGCCCACTGACAAAGACATGATCAGTCTATAATTTTAATGGTAGGTTTATTTGAACAGTGAGAGACAGAATAACAACAACAAAATCCAGAAAAATGCATGTCAAAAATGTTATAAATTGATTAGCATTTTAATGAGGGAAATAAGTATTTGACCCCTCTGCAAAACATGACTTAGTACTTGGTGGTAAAACCCTTGTTGGCAATCATAGAGGTCAGATGTTTCTTGTAGTTGGCCACCAGGTTTGCACACATCTCAGGAGGGATTTTGT